TCCTCGCATCGGCGTTGGGGTCCCTGGCTGCGCCTCCCGCGCCGCCCCTGGCGCGCTCCGCGCGCCAGGCAAGGGGGGTCCAGCGCTGATCCGCGAAATCCCCGCGGACCTCAGAGTCTTCATGTTTATGCCTTCATTGCGTGTTCCCGTAACTCACTTCCCTCTCGCCGCGCCGCCTAGCTTAGGTTCCTCCATGGCTGCGCAATCAACGACCCACCACACGCCGCGAGAGCAACTCTCTCTGTGGCTCCTACCCACTACACGCCCTCAGCCCTGAGGCAGCCGGCCAGGTCAGGACAGCGAGTAGCCATCGGCCACAGGAGCGGTGCACTTGCCCGACGGAAGCACGAAGGGCTTGTCCTTGTACATGGCCACCCCTCCCTTGCTGTTGAAGTGCGGCTGGCACTTCGAGAACAGTTTCTTCTTGTCACAAGGTCCTAGAATAAAAACGAGCAATGCATAAACAAAAAAAGTCGGAGGTCCGCGGGGATTAATTGAGTCTGCGCTGAGCCCCCCTCCCTGACGCGCGGAGCGCGCCACGGGCGGCGCCGGAGACGCCGACAAGGGGTACCAACGCCAGTCCAAGAAATTCGCGCGGAGTTCCGTGTTCATGCAATTTTTCCTTTGTGGAGGTCCAGGCTCGGCCGGTGGGTCCATCGGCATGTCGCCAAACACTACCCTGTCACCTGGTTTCGCGCCCTCGGGGACTTCGACGAACTTCACGTCGGAGTGGTCCGCGCTCGAGGCGCACAGCACCATCCCGTTGCTTGGAAACCCTGCCAGCTTCTTGGGCTTCAGGTTGGCCACGACCAGCACCTGCCGGTCGGGCCGAAAGCTTTCTCATTTCTACCTCGCCCCCCTCTGGGCAGGAGGTTGGGCACAACCAGAAACTGGAACTGTGGCTGCAATCGACCCCACCACACTCACTTCTGGAGCAAAAACACCACGGCCAGGAATCTCGGACTCTACCCCGTGAGTGCGACTGCGCAGAACACCCGGAAAGGGAAGAAACAACAAGAAGAAGACGAGGGACGGATGAGGAAGAGGAGACGCCGAGGTCCTGTTGACGAACCGACACATCGCGGCGTAGCCGCACAATAAAAAACTGGGGGCGCGGGGTATGCGTGCACAGAAAGCAGCATAACATGTGCAGGATGTTCTCCATCAGCCGCCTTTTGGTCCAACACGCCACGTGCTCCCCACGGCGGCCGCCCAGAGCCTGCGCGGTAATTCCAGCCCGCTGTCGAAGGTGCACTTGGCCACGGAACAGCGGACAGACCTCTGTGCGCAAATTTACCTTCATCTGTCCTGACAACTGGAGTCCCTCCTCATAGAATCGGGCCTTGACGCTGTCTGCATGGATAGCCCATGCAGCTCAGCCGGTACCATCTGCGCATCCCGGCGTACCACGTCTCGCCCTTCCTGATGCCGTACTCGAAACGTGCAGCCGCCCCCCACTCAAAAACTGGAGTTGCTCGATCAGCTTCTTCACTCCCTGATCCGTGCCTAGCGTCGCACGAATGCCTTTGAACTTACTTTGCAGCTCCACTGGGTACTCCTCGAAAATATTGGAGGCCTGGGCGTCTGGCTGAAGTCCAGTTCGCTTGGTCCAGGATGCGATGTTAGCGACGTATACCTCGATGTGTTCCAAGCCGAGGAATGCAGGAGGCTGGCCGTAGCGTCTACCTCTCTCTGGTGGGGGCTTGGCGTCGGCTCGCCACCGCTCCAAGCCCTCGCCTTGCCGTCGATCGAGACCATCATTCTGCCGCTGATTTGACCTTCCTAACGACTGTTTCGATGTATTCCACCAGTCCGGCGAGGCCCCCCCATCCTGAGTAGTGGTCCCAGTCGCCGACGTACTACTCCTGCTCCTCCCAGTGTTCGCACTGCGTCTGAGCGTCCGTGGTTCCTCCAGCTCGTGCCTCCTCATCTCGCGGTTCACCTCCTGCGTCGTTGACATCGTGCCTGTCTGACGCTGCCCTCCAGATTCGATAACCACGCTCCGGCTAATATTGACAACGGCTCGAAAGAAGGAGAAGGACATCAACTTATCAGAGAGGGGCACCATCGACTACATGTCGCTATCCGCGCCTGGCCCAGGCAGGGCGAGCAAAGCCTTGAAAAGGCCATGGGAAGCCCGAAGAGAAACATCACACTTTTTCCAAATCTAAATGACATTGTAAGATTGCTGGAGATGATTCTGCGCTCGAAGTCCACGTCTCTTCACGACAGAGGAAATCCAGACTCCAAGCACGCATCGCTTGGCAAAGCGTGTAAAACTTCTCGTCGATCAGGCTGCTGGCATTCCACGTAGCAGTTGTAATGCGCCCACTTTGCGCACCAGAGGCGGACGTGGGCGTGGGCAGGCCGACGGCGTTGAAAAAAAACATAGTGAAACTGCGTCCTTGCCTTCTGGGCCCCGTCACTTCCCCGCGTTCTTCCCGCCCCCCCCCCCCAACTTGCCCGCGGCGCGGCCCGGCGCTGCGCCGCGTAATCTGCA